GAGAGAGAAAAGAAAAATGAAACAGAAATCAATGTAACCGTGATAAAAATAAGGATTAATTAGTAGAATATCAGATTTGAGAGAAAAAATTTTAGGTAAGTAATATGTCAAAAAATAGAATTGCATAAATAGCAAAAATAATTAAATATAAAACGAAATTGTCTCTACCGTTATGATTAAAATAAGTATGAAATAAAAATCACTAAAAATATTTTATTTCACATATGTAAAACACATTTAAAATTTTATGTCTTTCTATGAGTTAAAATTTTGAACATTTGATATGTAATTATTATGCATCACCGATCTACCGGATAGATAATTCTTAACAATGAGAACAAAAAGATCAGTTCAGTTATACAATGTTTTTCTTTTTGAGCAAAGGAGAANGTTTGCAAATTCTTCTTTTAACTTCTTAGTTTTCAGAATTATGCTTAGGTATTTTGCAAATACCAAAGACAAAGTACATCAATTAGCATTAAAAGTCTTTGCTTATCCCGATTTTATTCGCTACTAGACCTTAATGCTGCAGAAAAGTTGTTAGAAACTTAGAGGACTTAATTTACTACAAAATATATAAATTTCGCGTACGGTAAAACAAATTCCATAAATGTGCAGCATTATCTAGTCGTCTCGGAATCTGAAAATGTTTAGTGTGAATCATAGACTGTAAAAAAAATTCTATATTGAACTTCAAAAATTTCAACCAAAATTATAAAGCATCCAACTGAAGGATACATGATTTTAAATTAAGTACATGATTTTAAATTAAATACATGGTTTGTGAAGAATTTATCGAGAAAAAGATACATAATATACATGACGTAACAAAAAAAAAATAGAAGAAAAACCACTTAGAGTAAGGAAAATGTTGTAGTTATGGAAGAGAAAATTAGGTAGTTAACATGTCAAAAAAAAAATTATGTAAGTAAGAGAGAATTAAATATAGGACGAAATTGCCTTTATAATATAATTAAGATAAATATGAAAAAATCCCATAAAAAATATATTTTTCTCATCTTAAAATTCATTTATAGTTACTTTATCTCTAAAAAATTAGATCTGCAAACAAAATAAAATTAGGTTAGAACAAGATAGTTAACTATTTTTGAAATTACATCTTATATTGATTTTATAAGATAGTTAGCTATCTCACAGTGTTTTATAACTATCTAAAACATACTGTAGTTAACTATTTTGTCAGAAAATAACTACGAATTTATAAGCATAGTTGACTACTTTTTTCAGAGCATAATTTGAAGACTATACCGATTTCAAAATATATTTGACTACATAAAATGTTGTTATTTTATTTCGCGTAATGAATAAGAATAATATACATAGTCAACTATTATTAGAAATATAGTTATCTATTATAGTTTGCATAATGAAAAAGAACATAGTTAACTATTATTAGAAATATTTATTTATTATAGTCTTCATTATGAAAAAGAACATAGTTAACTATTACCAGAGACATAGTTACCTATTATAATGATAAAATAACGTATATAGTTAACTATATACCAAAAACATAGTTACCTATTACACATATTTTTTAACATAGTTAACTATGTCGATCTCTAGCGACAACTCAGTTTGGATGGCGTGAGAAGTTTATCAAAGATTCACGGTTTCAGATTTAAGAAGAAACACCATCTTAATTCACGATTTCAGATTTTGATCTATGGCAACGAGTTAAGACAAAACAATTGAGAGAGAAAAAGACTAAGAAGTGAATTGTGAAATTGA